CTACTATAGTTTTGTTACAAGTCCATTAGCTCACTTAGCCAATAAAGCTATCTCTACGTCACCTACAGATTGATTCTCTAGGACTCTGCCAGAACCCACCTTACTTACATTGTGCTTTGGATTTATCATCAATTCCTTATAGGTAGCCTACAATCTACCTACATTCTTTGATAGGTTGTTTGTGTCTTGGAACAAGAGCTCACGAAGACCTCTCTTTCTAGCATGCATCTAGGTGACAGAGCATGTTATCAACATACAAAAAAAAGGAAAAACAGAGAGGGTGAGAGAATGGGGGAAAAGGGAAGCAAGCAATCTAAAGAATCGGTTGATGGATATAAGGAACCAAAGCAAACTGAAGCAAAACACTATACAGAGGTAAATAAGTCTACTGTCTAGGTGGTCGTAATTGTAAGATTACATTCATATGCATTTGTCAGGTCAATTCTTGATCTGTGCTGAACCTTTTACAACATCCTTATGGATAACTTCTTGATCTAGAAGAGGGGTTACATCCTTGATGGTGTTATCATTGTGCTGTCATGCATTCAAAGCTGTTCTTAATGTCCTGTCTTTCTTAGAGATGCATAACAAAGGTGCAGCTTGCACCTCTGAGCATGGTTCTCACCACTTAGCATTAATGTACCAGTTTGTCTTTTCATGAAGTTGGTTCTGCAATGCTCATGGACAATGGAGTAAATGATATTTATACTGCTTCTCATCAATGAAATTAATCTCATGATTGACTTCCCACTAAAGAGGCAGTTTCTCCATCCCATTCATAATATCCATAAATTCCCCATGCCATTGCTGGTGCAAGCACAGAATATTGTCTTTGGTGAGGCCTTGCACTTTTGCTTTTCCTTTGTCTCTACATATTGGTTACACTTAGACTTTAGGTTCAAACCTATCATGCAATGTGTGTAGGTGCACTTCACTAATATTCTCTGTATTCAACTGCGATACAATGCAGTGAGTCACCACTACCTCTTTTCTGATTATCACTAGATACAAAAGCAAGTTTGTTAGCTCCTACTCTAGAAATACCAGGCCTAGTCTCTCAAGCAGGAGGGCCCTGATGTTCACAGTTGGGTTGTGTGCCCTTGGTCACTGGCTTTACACCAGATGGCTTGAATATGGATTGCTGGCCTTGAGGGATAGTTTTATGAACAACAAATTGTAGATTACAATTATTCTACATTTCAGCTTGTTTAGCCAAGAATGTTCTCATTTTCATAGGATTTTTAATACCTGTTGCATGTTTAGAACTGTGCTGATCATAATGGTTAGCAGTCTTAATAAACTGCTCATATCCAATGGCATGTGCCAAAAATTCAGTTATGGTGTTGGCCTTCAGAGACAAATTGTCATCACAGATAAGCAATCTATGTATTTCTGCAGGTATGCCATTATGGAAGGTTTCTCTGATGGTATACTCATTGGAATATATGGCCATATTCTGGGCATGGCTTACTAGTTTATTATAGAATGATTGGATGCCAGTTCTAGCATCATAAACCATTGTACAGAACACCTCATGCACCTCTTGCATTATTCATGCATTGATAAATTGATTATATAGTCTGAGAAAGACTCTCTTGAATGTCCAGTGCTGCTGAGCATGTGTAACAGATAATAATTATAATTATTTATTAGTGTGTATTATTTGACATGACCAAATAGTAATGCAATTTAAATTACCATGTATTATATAATGTAAGGGTAGCTTTGCCCTTACCTCATGCAGTGTAGCAGAATCAGAGATTGGTCTGACTTATGCTGTGTGAACTGTAAGTGGTGATTTCATAATGACAACATTACATTTTTTAAGTCATCCAGTGTTGATAGATGTTATGTGATCTGAACTTCAGGAGAAGTTCAGAATTCAGTTGTTGAAAACTTTAAATGTTAGAATAATGTTATGCTGATGATAAGCCTCAAAAGGTTCTAAATACATATAGTTTAAAATTCCAAATTTTTCTTTTTTTTTTTTTGTGACATGATAGATCATGTGACTTATAAAGACCCAGAATTTGTCAAATTGGTGTCAAGTAGTCATACATTTTACTCAACACATAGTCACTTGGTATACTCTTCTTGAAAAAGGGCTAGTATAAGGAAAAACTATCTAAAAACTTACTATATAACTTCATGAACTTCACAGGCTGCATCAGCCTTCCCATGTCACCATAGACAGCACAAATTATTGTACATACTTAGAATAGTACATGGAGTGGAAAGATTACCAAACCTTTCCACCCTACTAGTATATAAACTGTATCAAAAGTAACCAAATACCACAAAAAATCACATCAAATTTCTCTTGCACTCAGCTTTTAAAAGCTCACATTCTCAGTTGCTCTCGCACAGTAAGTTAGCAGCTAGTAAAAGCACCACTTCTGCAAAGTCTTTATGCATTTTTAAGTCTTACATCGCCCTTTGTGGCATTTACATGCTAGGCCTCTGTCACCAAGCTCTACATTGCCTTGTAGCATTTCTAAGCACTGTTCAAGGCATAGTTTATCCCCATGCTCCATGTTTGTTGTCAAGCACCACACCTTTTGAGGCATAGTTTACTCCATAGCAGTGAAGGAACAGTAGTGATTGTGTAAAAGCATCCATCACTACACCCTTGCCTCCATCACCTCTGCCACCTCTCTGTCCACCCCTATCACCTTGATCAGCAAGCTTGTTGCCAGGCTCATCAGCAAGTGAAGCTCTCCATTTACTTTGCCTTCATTCTTGCCTGCATCACCTAGTTTATTGGCAAGTCAGTCACTTAGAGCATTGCCAAAACTGTCTTTGATAGAGTGGTGTAGCACCTTGGAGGTTTCTATCCACCCCTATTCAGCTTCTGCAAAAGTATTCTGGCCTCTTTTTCCATTAACTCACCCACCTGGAAATACCTTAGGAGAGTTAGCATTCAATTAAGTACAAAGTAGCAATTTTTAAATATAATTAGCCCAATCATCACCTGTCACATCAATCATTGGGAACCTGCTAGAACCCTCAATACATACCTGTGCTTTGAATTACTACATTCTTATAGGTAGTTCACAGCCTATAAACAAAACCTCCTTTTTTCAGTTGTATAGGTTGTTTGTTTTTCAAGAGAAAGAGGTGCTCATCTAGTTCTCCTTCCCTAGCCCACATCCAGGCTACTGGACATGCTATTATCAGACTGTATACTGATGAGTACCACTGTTACTCATGACAACAAAATAGTGTCAGATAGAAATGCTGATGTTATAGTGTCACACTGACAGACTGGAGATGAGTCTTTCCAGATTCCAGGAGGACTACTAGCTCCAACCCCATTCCACCTGCAACCAACAGAAGGAATCTTTGCCAAAGGGGTATCTAATGCTCCTTTGAAATGAATCAAGCATGAGAGTGAGCCTGTGTTAGAGCAGGCCCAACATGCTGTAAAACTTTTTGGAGCCATGGAATTTAGTATTCCATACAATAGGAGTATAATCAGAATTTCTGTGCAATCAAGGCAGAAAGAATTCCAGCTGTTCTTTGCAGTGGCTGAGGAGATATCTCAGTCAATAAGGGTGAACAAGACACCCTCAACCACTGTTATGAGTATTGTCTCAGACAAGCAGGAGATCAGCTTCAGACTCTTAGTATGGTTTAACTCAAACTCAAGCAGTCTGGGACTTCTGAGAGTACCCAGAATAGAACCTGTTCCAGAGGAGGCTGATGAGACCTCCAACATAGATGAGAGCCTTAAAATCATGCTTGGCCATTCCACTTACAGCTTTTCACACTGCAATCAAGGAGTATGAGGAAGATGACTGGACAGATGATGATGGGGAGATGGCAATCTAAGTGCTAGTTTCATTAGTAGATTTTTCTGTTTCAATATCCATATGATCTGAATCAAAATGATTTTGTTATTGAAATCTAATATTGTTAGACTGATCACAAGGTGTTCCATAAAAGCAAGCAGCATTTGTTAGAATTGAACCAACAACCTCTTGGATATGCACTCCTTATAATGCTCTTAACCACTGAGCTAAAGTGCTTTGCTCACTTGTAGATCAAGAGCCTAGGCTTCACTCCCTGGATATGCCAAGCAACTTGATTTGAGATCACACCAGCAGGGACATATCACCCCATGTCAACTTTGAGAATGTTAACCTCTTGTTCAACCTTGTGTGTCTTGGTTTTACTTAGTCAGTTGATCTTTGGAAGACCAACTTCCCTCATGGTGGGCTCCAAATGATGTGAACGGTGGGAGAAAGTTGTGAGAACTTTGTCAATGCCAAGTTTACTGGTGTCTGAGGCTTAGATTTCACTCAAATTACACTGTGTGCAATAAGTAGTTTTAAAATTTGATTTATTTATAAGAAACTGGTGTTCTGTTAAAAAGGGTCCAATCATATTAACAAAAACCTGAAACAAATCTATTTGAAGCCTAGGCAATCTGCTTTCCAGGGATTTCGAGCTTGGCAAGAGTTTGCTTGCCCAAATCCCCCATAAATCCTCCCCTTTTACATTCTTTCCCTCATGCACAGACCAAGCATGCAATCCTTATGTTTCATTGCAGGTACCACATGTACACAAGCTTGTTTGTGTGCCCATTGGTTGGGCTCAATGGTTTTTCTGGATATCTGCATAGTTCTATTCCTCTTGTCCATTCTGGGGATCCCTCCCTTCTTTTCCCCTTCTTCTACTCCCTCAGACCTCCATTGATAGTGGTGTGTTGTGGGCACTCAGAATTGGCATATGTCAAATGGTTAGTGGGGTGCAGAGAGTCAAGTTCTACAAGCATTTGGGCATTAGATACAGGTAAGCACCCAAAACCAATCTGTTGATGGATTCAGCTGATGGTGGGCCAATCAAATTTGGCTGTCAAAACATGGTGATCGGGTTCACATTCTCATTGTTCTGGCTGTTTTGCTGGTGTTTCTACTCATCTTTTCCTTGTCTTTTCAGGATTGTTGGTGATTTTCACTTAGTGAGTTTCCCTGTGTTTACAGTTTTTGACATGAGCCTATGGTTTTCAGCTCTCATGGGTATATTGGGAACTCTTGCTTGTCACAACTTGTCTCATAAGAAGAGCTGTCATATCAATATCTAAGTTGCTCTATAGATAAAATTGAGTAACTGGATTGTAATATGTGAGCTATATATTGCAATGAAGCTATGAGACACAGAATATATATAATCATGACTTGGAACTTGGGTGCTCAGCATAGTGCTACTGTGTATGTGTGATGTGCTATCCCATGCTATCATGAGCTAACATGGGGATATAGAGTGCTATAAACCAGGTGCTAAATTACAGAGCTACCCATGCTATATAACCTATAGTATGCTATGGCATAACTTAGTTTTTTCCTGATGTTAAACTTAGAACAATACATGCAAAGGGTGAAACTTCTTATAGGAGGGGTATTTTGCAAAACTCTGACACTATAGCCTGCATCTCCTTGTCATGATTCATTCTTTCAAGTTTGTGCAGATCCATGGCTTTGAAGCACTGCCATGTCAACATCAGGGAATTGGGTGTGAAGAAAAAGTGAAGCAGCAGAGGAGGATGCACAATTGACTCCTGCACCAGCAATCAGTAGAACAAACATGCTGCCTTGGAGCACTGGCATGATGTGAGAGGTGGCAGACACAGCTGGGACAGGAGGCAGGGCATCAAATCTCATGAGTTCTTGTAACTTCCTGAGAATTTAACATAAGAGGCAAGAAGTGAGCTGAGGTCCATGGACAAGCTTGGTGTGTTGGGAGTAGTCATGGAGAAAGGAGGAGGGATAGTGGGGTGAGGAGTTGCTCTGGGAAAACACCTCTTTAGAGCTCTAGATGGCTGTGAGGGCCCTGGCATGCATAAGAGGGTAGCAAAAGATGATCAATTAAATCTGGTGCTGTTCACTTAGTCACCACCACTTTGTGACAAGAGATATCACACCTCCAAAAATAGATATTTTTCTTATTCTTCTTGCCAAAATGCTTCTTTTGGTGAGGGGAACAAAACCCCAAGACAGATTTTCAATATCTTCAAAATTGACGGAGTGATATTTTTCTGGCCTCTCAAATTTGGCGCCATCAATTATATAATACGGATCATTACTTTAAAAGGAAATATTTTATGCATCAAATGCTCGGGCAACCATCTCAGGAATGTGGTCGATGGGATTTGTACTTCGTAGAACTGAACTGTTTGACATGCACCTGAGGTTTGTGAGTCCCAAGGCCCTGCTTTTCTTCAGGGCAGCTGCGCGTGCTCGAGAAGCAGCAATCTGACGATACTTTCCTTTAATTGGCATGTTGTCCGTAAAATAGAAAATCAGATTAGTTCATTCTACATGTAAAACTACTGAACGCTCTAGAAACTACCTGGTTCGAGCCCGATACATGGCAAATTTCAAAAAAAAAATTAGCCTCCGGCCAATTTGGCGCCTGTCACAAATCGGTGGTGACTAAGTGAACAGCACCCATATAGACAAAAAACACATGATGTGATGGAGGTGTAGATCTCATCAGTGTGAGATGACAGATTTGAATGCATAAATGGAGACTTGTGAGCAGGGTGTGAGACAACAAAGTTGTCGTGGACTGTGCCTGCCGGTATATGAGTAAGAAGAGACAATGGAAAGAGATGTGATAGTAATGACTCGAAGGGTGAAAGAGATGAGTCGTAATCTAGTCTACCTGCCCAATCCACTATCACACGACTACCATCTGATTCATCCAAGTCAAAGTAGGTTTCCGTTACTTCGGGAATTCTCTGTCTCCGAACCCCTTTCTTCATCAGACCAAGGTTTGTGTCTTCTGTGCCATCATGTCACTACTATGTGCCAGCCTAGATCTTTCTTATTAAGACTTCTCACTATGTCAACAACGTCCACTTTCTGGCCATCCTAGTAATGTCCAGTACGTTAACTTGCACATGCCTTTCAATGGTGAAGATCCGCTGATACTAGACTCTATAGCCATGCATATGCGCTCATCTCTGGACACTCACTCTCTAGGACATTTTTCACACGAGGCATATATTTCGCAACATCGATGTTCGTTCTTTTCTCGAATTTCCACACTTCGGATGCTAATGTCATTACTCTACAGCCAGTAACCTCAGTAACGACATACGACGCTCCCATCCTGATGATGATTTGCATGGTCCTCAAGCTATTGCTAGCACATTTAACCGGTTAGAAAAGTGCATGGCTCTGTTCCCCTGTTCCGGAGCATATTTCTCACCCTCGTGTAGGCGTATCACAGAATTCAGTGATCAAGTGAATATTCTAACTACTGTTCCATGAACAAGCTAATTCATCCACGAAGCTCGGCCGTTTTCTCGCAGAATGCCGCCAACTTGGGCGATCATATGCCCTCATACTTGCTGCACGCGATCTTCGTGAAGGTCTTGAAAACCTTCTGTCCATGTTCTACAAAAATGCTACATATTTGGCTCCGTCTCTCCCTGAAATGAGGTCTGCTCCACCAGGGATAATATCCTCTCTGAGTTTCGATGTCGCCAATAAACCTTTTTACTTCTGGCTGAAGACTCTTGCAGAAGTATGCGATACGTTCCGTGAGCGCCTGGATGAGTTCAGAGAATACACAGTCAGTTTTGTGCAATCACCTGCTATACCAAAGATAGTATTGAAATTGCTGTTGTAGGATGAAAGTGCAAAGGTGAAAGATCTCATGATGATGTTCAGCAAAGATTTGATGGTGTGTAATTCTATCATTTTCCTAACAAGCAGAACCTGATTGTTTTATCAGTATCGTGCTCGGTGTCTCGAAGCGTATAAAGGTCGGCATATGTTATCTATCAGAAACACTCTGGTCTGACCTTTCACCATGGTAGATTCTCTGAATGACCTGTATATGCGTCATTACATCAATGATCTTGCGGACGAGATAGGCAAAGATTTCGACAATTTATTATGTACTTTCAAGTTCTTTAATCGTTATGGTACCTTTTTCTATAACTCCTTTTGTCTATGCCATGGCTCATTCTGCTTATTGATAGGAATGCCAGCCATGCAATATGAGCAAAAACGAGCCACTGAAATCTTGCTCACCATGTCAACCATGTCGACGTTTTTCTCAGCGGTCACGGCAACAATGTTGCAGACGTCACTCAGCATACAAGGAAACGACGAATCCAACCCTCTTATATCAATTGTGAACACGTTTTGGTTCTGTTCTCTGGTATTGAGCATCAGTTCTCCATTGAACAGTCTTCTTGCGGTCTTTTGGAAGCGTACACCGTAGTAAGTTCACAGCGAACATAATTGGTGATGGACCGTTGATCGTAATCACAAAACAGTGGTTCCAGGGGCCGTCGTCTTCCGGTCTGGGTGAAGGTCTGGATTCATGCATCAGCCCCAGCATTCCTCGCCATTTCAATCGCGTCTTTCTCTGCAGGACTTGTCCTTTTTGTCTACTCCTCCGGTCAAAAGAATCACACGAAAATGGTGACTTTGGTCACTACAGCCACCACCTCCTTTGGACTCCTTACAATAGCCGCTTGGTTCGGGTATGAGCAATACATCGCTCCTCTCCTTCTACCTGATGCACCATGGCGACCGTTAGGGAAACGTATCCATGAGTGGAACTCGTCTATGTCCGAGAAGAGTCGTCCTCTGGCTTCTTCCGACCATCATAGAATTCGGACAGGCTCGTTGTCAGACTATTCGATCGGATCAACACGCTCTGGCTCATTCTCTTTCATTTTAACCCCTCGCGAATTAACAACTCGATTGCCATCTGTGTCTAAAATTCTGAACAAGTTGCCGGGTCTTTGCAGAGAAACAGGTAGTTCTGAACAGGATCCGTCCCTTGATCCTGAAAACCACGCTTCTCACTTTCCTACAAACAAAGAGGCTGAAGTTCAAACAGGCATGCGACTAAGACGTGTCGTAAAGCTCGTTCTGACTTTGAAGGCGGCCTCAAAAGCTTTTAAACAGCGGTCGCGAAATCATGGAAATGCAGTCACTTCCCCTGTGACCACCAACATGACGCCAACCCGAACACCAGCGAATGACATGTTACCCATCAGATC